TCACCTCCATGTTCGTTGCACAGCAAGCACATGAGAGACCAAACTCCGTTTTAAGGAACGAAACCTTCATACTTTCAGATCAAACACCGGGTTCCCATGGGTTCCCACGACCCGATCTTTTTTCACCTGGTCAACAGCTGCACTGCCAACTGGGCAAAGGCACTGGGGTATTCTTCAGCTTGCTTCGTTCTGAAGCCGCCTGATGTCGCTGCCCCACTGAGTTGCAGATGCTTTTCACCACTGAATTTGCAAACACGCTCGCCATTTGTGAATTTAAGTTTGCACTTCATAGCTTGCGCATCGGGTGGCAATGGCTGTGCATGCCAAAGCCAACAGCGAGTTGGCTTTTGCCACTTCGTTCCAAAACAACAGAAATCACACACAAGCTGCTGCCAGCACTGATGTTTAGTCAATGCTATCAACTCTGGAACGGACCACATCATGCTTCGAAAAGGGTTTTCCAACCCACAAGGCACCATCTTGACCAAGCACTTTTCGATGATGATCAAAGATTGCTGCAAAGTTCGGTTCCCATTCCAAAGGGTCTTGCGATCACCGTCCTGAAAAAGAAACGCCACAATCTTGGATCAGGTCAAGATTTCAAGCTTGGTGGTCAACAGTCCCCTAAAATTATGATCATGAATAATACAAAAGCTATCGAATCTAATATTCTAGCTACCAGGCAAGAACAAAGGAACTCTCTGTCCGTCAGGTTGTCCATTGGTAATCCCCAAATGTGATGGCCCAGTGATCGAACTCTGGCTGGCCACCCGCGAGGATTCTGCCGCGTCCGCTTTCCTCGCCGTGCAGTAGACCAAGAATCGCACGGAGTTCCTAGCCATACCTTGACGCAGGGCAGCAGGCGAACCACAATACGTTTTCGTTTTTTGGGACTGCCAGGAAAATGATGGGAGAGGCTTGTTTTCACTCATTGTTGGCCACAACGCAGGGGGCATACCATAAGCAATCAATCAAACACTTGGCAAATTAAGTCAAAGCACCGCAAGGACCAGCGTGTCTTCTACCCATTGGCAAATATATTGGCACATCTCGTTGGATGTGAGATCCACACCTGTAAGGATATCCAGGCCGTAAGCACCCCAACCTGGGAAAGGGATCTGGAAGGCTTGTAACTATTGTCCATGTGACGAAGATGACTCAATGCAATGCGACATCATCTGAATCTCTGACTGTGTGATGGTTGGGACCGAGGCAAAAAGCATCACCAATTGACTTAAAAAACCTCTTGAAAGAGTCAGGTCGCCTGCAGCTTCAGCTGCTGCCACAATAGTTGCTGCTCCACAAAACAATTCCAAAAGAACTCTTCCTTGGCTGTGAAGCGAAAACGGAGAACAATGTCTTTCACTCTGACACTTTATTAATAAGCTCCAGCTTGAGCCGTAGAGGTATCTACATGATACTTGAATTATCATTCTGAAATTTAGAACCCACGCCGAAAGAAAACCACTGTCCAGATTTAGAGCTGTGTTTCGCGGGTGCGTGCAAATGCTGCAAGAACAAAGCCAATGGGGCAAAAAAATGGGGTTACTGAATCTGCTGACGAAATACCAACTGTGGAACAGTAGGTGCGAAATGCACGGTCCACATCACAAGGCCTCTTCATGGCAGTCGGTGTTAGATTTCTGCCGGGGCGTTTCCGCCTCGCAGTAGTGGAGGATTTGCGGGATGATTCTGGCACTGATGGAGGGTGAACATATGGTTGTGGCAATGGCCCATCATCATGCCACAACTGACTCTGCAATGGAGATTCGAGGTGGGCGCCAGGTTCCTCTTCCAATCCTATCATAGGAGCATCGAAGGACTGCGCACTGTCCAACTGAATCTGCATCACATCGAAGACGGCATCACCATCTTCCAAACAAATCATAACACCGAGCTGCTTCGCAGCGGGGCAACATGAAATGAATGAATTGGTTCTTGATCCAAAACTGGAAGGACAGGACCTATGCGGTTATCTGAAACCGTCTCTGACTCTCTGACTGAAGTGCAGGCGAGGTTCCTTGAGGATCAGGTCTAGGGCACGAACGATGATGGGGGGAGGGAGCTTCTGCTTAGCCTTCACTCCCTCCCCCATCAACCAGGCATTGTCCCAAAAGTAGGTCTGGGGCACCCTCTCATACCTGGACAGGGCAACTGCACTGTGCCTTGTCCAACGATGATGGCACAGAACTTGTGATAAACAAATTGGCCCAACACTGACTGTTACAGTAAGAAGGCTAAATGGAGGGTGTGTGGCTGTGGAGAAAATGGAGGGTGTGTGTGGCTAACTTTGACAAAGTTAGTGCATCATACCTTCGACGAAGTTCTGGAATTTCGTTGCAGTCAGTTCTCCTACTGGCCCACCATTCCACGAACTGTCCACGAATAGCCTTGGGTTCTACGAATGTCCGATGTTAGTAGAATAGGTTTTTGCAAAACCCTTCCTGTGCACTACCCTTCCGTTTGCCTCTGATGTTAAAATATATATATCACATCTTTTGAATTCCCGAACAAACGGTCTGCCTCTGGAGAACAGCCTGCACCTCGCCAGGCAGGTTCTTGAACGCTCGGATCCACTTCCCAACTGTTGAAGCCTTTCCAGACCCCAAAGCTTTCACGATCTGCTTCTTCGTCTCCTCATATGTCCTGTACCGCTCGAACTGCGTAGCCACAACGCTGATCTTGCTATGAAGGGATGAAGGCCTGTACCTGTTGCTCTCCTCATCATGCACGGAGCAGTACCACAAGCACCGGGTTGTCCGATCATCATCCTGGAACCTAACAAAGTCACAGACCACGCCGGTCTTGAAGATCTCCACCAACTTGTCCACATACTGGGACCCATCCTGCCAATTCTGGTGGACAGGCTATCACACATTGACGGAGTCTCTACTTTGCACCGGAAACCATCAACACAACCTCCTGGTCGGGTCCAAAACATTAAATGGAAAACACACTCTCTCTCTCTATGGGGGGCGCAGTGCAGCTGCTAAGCACTAAGTGGTTCGTTCCCGGATTCGTTCCCCCTTGGTTTTGTCACGAACATCCAAGCTTTGCCAACAAAACATCATAAAGCTCTGCGAGACCCATGTTGAATCACACAAATCAGATCAAATCTGCCTCTGGTGAGCCAGCGTTGTGCCACTCCGTCTTCAAATTCTGCAATGTCGAGATGTACTGAAGCCCGTCGCCAATCATGATCAGGCCCTGCAGCTGCCATGTCGTGGACAAGTAGTATCGAGCTGGAACCCCGGCATGATAACTTATTTTAAAGTCTATTTAATTGGAAAATCAGGGACACGTCTGTGCTATAATATTAGCAAACATTTCACAACATGCTTTGGTTTTGGCACAACATGCAGCGGAAAAACCCAATATAATTAATATAATCTCCGGTACCTCTACAAATCTGATTAGATGGCCGGCGGGAATCCACCCTGTCTGCACACATGCGCCTTGATGTCCAACATGGATTTGTCATCACTGGAGTTCTTCAGCAATTGAGGGTCACGATAAATGTTGTGATTCACCAAACCCTGCAACAACTCCGCTCGGATTTCATCTTGTCGAAGAGGGTCTTGGGGACGCCAGCCACTGGTCTCTGAAACGCTGATGTCCTGGACAGGCGCATCGCGCAAACGACGCTTTAGGAGTGGACGGTTGGGTCGCTGCCGGGTCCTTCATTTAACCCGTCTCAACAAAACCGCATTGAAACACAATATGCTCATCCCTAATAGGTGAACTAAGTGAGCTCGCGGCGGAACCAATACGGGATGACCACAAGTTGAGGGACCAAGGTGACTTGACCAAAGCAGGTCCTCATTGTTGTCAAATGTGGAAGTGGGTGAGAAAACAACTGCTTCGACTAA